TTATGGATTATAACAGTATTACACAACAGTTTGTTATTACTACACAAAGAATATAAAATACCACACAGTTTTATTGATAGAATTTTATCATCAAGGAGGTTGTGAATATTGCAGGTTCTTCAGATGAATACATGCAGTACAGTAACTATTTTATATTCAGCTGCATCGATTGTACTTGTACTAATAAAAGAATTATGGTTAATGAATTTCATTTATACCTTGATCAAAACTACATGTGTGTCAGTGTGACACAAATGCCCCCGCTGACATGCATTTTCTATGTTTATTCATTTTGAAAATTCAAAATGAAATATCTTTTCTTCACCTGAAACCTTTTAAATATAGTTTTACGTTTTCTTTCATCAAAATATAGTATTTCTAAGTCTGTAAGATCCATTCATGTCAACATATTTTATTTATTTCTTTAACTAGATATCATTGAGATGGTGATCATCTCAAGGGGCCCCAATTTTAGCAATGGACATTCAGAAGAAAGACCCTATATCCAAGGGCATTCTTTATGGGAAATTCGAGACAGATGGGGCTAATGGGATAAAAATGCTCAAGAAAAGAACTGGACAGAGATTTGCTATAACTTGAACACTAATCTAGAAACTTGGCTCAAGACACTGCACACCCTCTAACCAGGGGCACTCTATGAGTAGAATTTGAACCAGATAGGGCCAAGGGGAGAGAAAAAATGCTCAGAACAATGATTTTACGAATACTGTTGACCTTGACCTTTGATCTAAAAATTGTTTCAAGGTCATGCATGCTCACCCTCTACCCATGGACACTCTAAAGGTTAAGTATGTAGAGCCCAACTGGGCCAAGGGGAGAGAAAATATGCTAGGGACAAGGATTTTTTTAAGCAAAGAGATTTTCCAACCTTATAACCGTATTTATAAAATTAAAATTTCAAGATAATTCCTAAATATCCAACAACCTGTAAAGAGTATCCCTTTACATAAGGCAGTAAAACACATCATATCTAAAATAACTCAATTAAATGTGTTAATTAATCTCAATTTGACAGAAACAGATAATGCTTTGGATTTTCTTAAAGAGGAAAGTTAATTAATCCCATGGGACTAGTTGCAGCTTTCATATTTTACAATTGGAACATTCTCAGCAGTTATCTCTCTTTGCCCTGGCATTCATTCTAATGTAAAGTTAAGGAATCTACCCCACCACCCCAGCTCCAAACTGGATGACATAGAGAACCAAACTTAGCATCAAAATATGTCTTACTGCCTCTTCAACCAACATACCAAATTTGAACTTAATTGGTCGACTACAAAAGAAGTTATTAGAAAAAAACAGAAAATTTGTGGACGGAAGAAAGACAGACGGACAGACAGACAGACAGAGTGATTACTATAGGGCACCTGCAAATCCTTGCGGGGCCCTTAATAGCTTTTCATCTTCTTTTTTAATTCTTCCTTTCCTTGGAGTAACTAAAATCATGCTTTACAAACTATTGTCATTTTTAAATATAGTTTGTCAATGACTGCAATCTTAAATGGACTTGTTTATTATCCTGATTTTTAAAGTGCTTTGATTAAATTCCTTTTATAAACCTCATTCATAATTTATATACATATTGAAAACCTTAGAAGACTGTATTAGAATAGAATGAAAAATCACTTTGTTAATGCAAAGCTCACAATTCCAAAAGAAAATAATTGAAATCTAAAAAGCAGTCATTTAACTGTATGCACAAGTTCTCATTCACTGAACCAGAGCATGTTTTTGTATTCTAATAAACTGTTTTCAAAATTGTCAAACTTTCTGCAAAATGAACAGCTCATTCTAACCCCCCCCCCCCCCCCCAAAAAAAAAAAGAAGAAGTATCTTCCTATGTCAGATATAATCAACTGAATGTAAACACAGAAATTGAAAATGCAAAACAATTAATAATAATAACCTCTGAGGGATTAGATTGTGTAATGTTAAATCACAGATATTACGTTTTCTTATGTTAAATGATAAACAAGTACACCTAACCTGTGCTAATGCTTCTAGCATTAGACTAAGGCAGGTTTTTGTCTGTTTTTCTTTTTTTTTTTTTTAAATCCATGGAATTAAGTAAACATGTCAGATATTAATAGCATCATTCAACCTAAGCTTTGTCATATAATTTCAAGCAATAAAAAGTTTATTCTACCCCCATTTCTTACATAAGTTGGATGACTTCATTGATTTATGCTCAAGATATAATGGCCAGAATATTGCTAATCAAGGTATCTGTACATTCAAGTTTACTTAATAAGTGTACTTTGAAGCAGAGAAAGGATGATTGACCTTTTCAACCACATTAAAATTATTGGAATGATTCCCCACTGAATTAAATTTTAGAGCACTGGTGATCTTCAGTGTTTATGCTCTGTTTATAAGCTTGATCACTGTATGAAATTTAAAATTTAATTAAATTTAAGCTACATTAATTTACTACAACTGCATATTCAGTGGTGAAAGAAACCCAGATAGCCATATATAAAAAAAATCATTTATAATCATAAATTCAAAATTTGAATAAATACCTGTACCTCACTTTTCGAACATTTTTATGTACATTATTTTTATATGCAATTTATATAAAATTCAATGTATTTTCAATAACTTCATTTATCTAAAAATATTCATATTTGATTTTATTAAATTCGTCAAAAAAAAAAAAAAAAAAAAATTAAAAAATAATTAAGTGTAAAACTTCTTTTTTCATAAATTGTACCCCCACCCCTCTCCTCCAAATGAAGGTGAAGCTTAAATCACCTACCAACTGGATGCTTGGTATTAAAAAAACACATACTTACCTATCGGAATCTTAATTAAGAAATCTCATTGATCACAAGTTAAAGTCCTCACAGGACCTATGGTAATTTTTTTCCGACTGTGAACAAATTTACAAAACAACATTTTTTATTCCCAAATTTAAAAAATTTCCTGGGTGTCGGAGATCTTCCTCATTTGAATAACTGCGATACACCTGAGATTTAATTCTATACTGATTAATATGAAACGCAGTGGGTACTTTTAACACTGAACTGTGGAAATTTAAATCAATAAAGGAACAGATCCTTTAGCAGGTAGAAACTTTTATTTTATAGCCCTCTGGTGTTGATCTATGAAGCGGAAGGCACAGGGGCACATTCACTTAATCAAACATTAAATACTTAAGCATCTAAACAGTTACAAATAAATATTTTTTTTCAAGAGGTCTTAAACCATGCAAATACCAGGCTCTTGAAAATTAAAGATGTGTAAATATAGCTGTTAAAGTTGAGATATTATTGCCAAATTGAATTTCTTCATTTTAAAATCTTCTTGACATGCTTGCTAAAGCAAAGACTCTGAGGTGGGTGAATCATGTCTATGTTACAGTCGATAAATGGATAAAGTCTTGAAATTTAGGACATAAACTATGGTGTACATTTTCAGTTTAATATAGTGTTATGTTTGCTGCTTTTTATCATTAACTAGAACTTTCCCCATATGGGATTAAATCCCCACCACCACCACCAACTAACATGCAAGTTTATAGAAAATTACACAAAAATTTTTAATCAAAGGCCTTTAAAATATCTCTGTCTAAGTAATTTTACATTAGAACAAATAAACAATTGCCCTTTTTTTCAACATATCTATGTATTTTGAACAATCATGCATAGTACTTAATTTCAATTAGCCTGGGTTAATGACACAAAATTTACTTCGACAACATTTCAAATTTGGATATATCTAGAAACTACACAATATTTGGATTACACTACATTTACAAATCCAGATCAACTTTTCTCCTCTCTTATTTTATCCCTGGTAAAAGAACTGAGTTTCAACAAATCCTAACCAGTTATTATCTCCCCTTGAAAGAGAATTGTCCCTCTACTTAATGAAATTCCTATAGAGATGCGTCCAGATACTATAAATAGGATTTTGTCAAAAATGAGCATATGCATGGTAATTATTTTTCAGTTGTAAAATACAAAATAATTTAATCATTAACACCAGAATTTGGGTGTGTTGGAGAGCAGGGAGTTGGGCAGGGGCTGTAAAGTCCTTAAGGATCATTACTTTACGGGCTGTAAAGTTCTTAAGGATCATTTCTTTACAAACTGTCTAAAAGGAACAATATATTTTCACCTTCCTAATCTCTTCATGGCAAAGTTTACTGCAGATGAATTTAACACTATCTATTTTTCATAATCACTTTAAATTGTATCCTCTTCATCTAAATCATGCAATAGCTGCTTGATATACTGTATATGGAACATAATATGGTGAATAACTTTGTAACCTGATAATTTTATGAGATTAATGAATGCAATGAAATCCCAATACAGTATTTTTCTTTCTCTCAACAGTAAACATGTCATTGATCAAAGAAATTAATATTTTAACAGCTGAAACAAAATATGCAATCCAAATCAATCATTTGATCTTTTCTCCTTTGACAATGCTTCCAATACAAGATTTCAAGAAAAAAGTTCCAAGAAAAGGTGTATTAAAAGTGCTTTAAAATATGCTTTAAGAATGTCCTTCAGCTCAAGAGCGAACACCAATCAGACATTTCCATGAAGCTTTTAACTGTGTTGAAACGACATAAGTTGGATTCAACCCCTTTAACTGTTCCCATGTGAAAATGGTCAGATTTGAACCCCTTACCTTTGCTGATATGAAATTGGTCAGATTTGAGCCCCTTATGTTTGCTGATATGAAATTGGTCAGAGTTGAACCCTTTACCTGAACTGATATGAGATCGGTCAGATTCGAGCCCCTTACCTGAACTAATATGAGATTGGTCAGATTCCAACACCTTACCTGTGCTGATATGAGGTTGGTCGGATTCGAACCCCATACCTCATTTAAAATTGGTCATATTCGAACCCCCTACCTGTACTGATATGAGATTGGTCGGATTTGAACCACTTACATGATACGAGATTGGTCAGACTTGAACCCCCTACCTTATATGAGATTGGTCAGATTCAAACCCCTACCTGTGCTGATATGAGATTGGTCAGATTCGGGATATACAGGTTGGCTGTCAGAATCGCCAGGGCATTCTCCGGTTTGTGATTGTCTGGTGTACATATTACGTAATCAGGCAGCTCAATTCCTGGTTCCTGATTGGCTAATTGGCCTGGTCCCCAGCTTGAGGATGTAACAACTGAAGCTTTGATTCTCTGAAATATAGAATCAGTGGTAATTAATCCATCAGTATTACATTCTCTATCTTCAAAAACATTCCAATTTCATTCAAGTTTGATTAAAAGACAGATGCTGATTTATGAAGTTCAAATACGGATCAATCTTTCTTTAATAAAAATGTGTTTTTCCTATCATTAAAATGTAAATTACATCTTGTTATAAGCTCTTACTGGGAGAATTTATGTGAGAAATCATTAGCTTGTACACTGATTACTTCTCTACTAGAAAGCATATTGATCAACTCCTATAAAATGTCATTCAGATCTTTAAATGTTTCCATTTATCAATGTGCATCCAATAATGAATGTTTTTTCAATGACACCCTCTGGAGCTATTGATACATTGACTTCTGAAGTAAATGCCTGGTCATTTCTCACTTTTCATATTGCTTATGTGAGCTTTCTAATCCAATTCTAGCAAATCTCTTTCATGACAAAAAAATATAATAACAAGAAATATATGCTAAAACAATATGAGGAGATTGCAAGTTTTCAACAGTTTGGTACAATGAAATTTTCATTGTTCTGAACAGTCCTGAATCAAATGGAAAGTGGGTCAATGTCACTCTTTTGAATAGAACAAACTTTTTCAAAGGGGCAGGAGCTAATATGTTGAAGGTGCGACCGTTTGGGCGAGTGCAGATACCTATTCAGTTTTAATTTATATCTCTCTCCTCTATATCTATTCTATTCTATCTCTCCTGTCTTGAAGTCAAAACTCCTGAGCATAGTCAATTTAAGTCCACATATGATGATTTTACACTGTGCCCTTGCTTAATCCCTATCAATATGAAGATAAACGAGACATTTTGTACAATGTAATTTTAATGCAAGAACATACCCTGGTGCTGATCCAGCTTGGGGTGTGTGGAGGTGTGGTGTGATTATGGGGGTTAGTTTGGATACTGCCTTATAAGTGTTTAATAAATTTTGGATCCATCCCTGAAAAACTAGACTCCCCCTAGCCCTCAACCCCCTTCCTCCAGTTAGCACATTAGTTTGAAATTACCAAAAAATTTGAGAGACATGATTTAAACAAGTCCATGCCTTCTTTGCCTTCTTTAAGTGATTCAGAAACAAAATTTTCACAAAGTTTGGTTACTGCTCTATATAATCTTTAATAGTAACATGAAAATGAAATTTTCATGAGCAGATGAACTTGGGTAATTACGACAAAACAAAGTTGTTGTGAATAAAAAGTGATTTACAGCAAGGTAAAAAAAAACAATGTTTACTGTATAACCTCTGTCAATTCTGATAGTGCACCAATACTAATAAATATAGGCATTTTACAATACGTCTCTAGTGGCAAGTTTAATTTATGATGATATCCATTTGTTTTGGAACATATGTCTACTTTAAATACTTTTAAAATGATATAGTTCTACTTGTTAAGTGACACCTGTATGTTTACAACAAACATGCACTTACCGTAAAGAGATTTTTGTCAAGGCATACATGGCGTTTGATTTTTTTTTCTCCCAATTTTCAACATTTTAAAAAAAATTAGAAATATGTGCAGAGGACATGAATGCCCCACCCAGGGTTCATTAGTAACGCAACACAAGTATTTGTATTAGTGTAGGAAGTTTGATGAAAATACCTTGAATACTTTCTTTAAAACTGAGTTTAATACACAATAAAAAGTGAAGTCAAAGGTTATTGGGAAGTTCAAGGGAAATAGACACAGTTGATAAATTCTCATCAAATAATGCATTAGTGCATAAGCTTACATAAAAAAAAAACTGGAATAGTTTTGTTGAGCAAAAAACCAAGTTTGAAAAATGTGAGGTCAGATCAAAGAAAAGGTCAAGATCAAAAATGTTGATGAAGATGAATAGCTAACCTCAATATGCATCAGCATATGAAGTTTAATAAAAATACCTTGATTTGTTTCTTTGAAACTAACTAACCATTGAAGTCAAGGTCAAAGAAAATGTCCAGGTCAAAAATGCTATTAAATAGCTCTCATCAATATGTGTAAACATTTAAAATTTGATAAAACTGTCTTGATTTGTTTCTTTGAAAATATGCTAATCACAAATTTAAATTTAAGGTCCAAAAAAAGGTCAAGGTCAAAAATATTGATGCCATTGAATAGCTCTCATCAATATTTATAGCATATAAAGTTTGATAAAATATCTTAAATACTTTCTTTGAAATTTTGCTAAACACAAACTTGAGGTCACGGTAAAAGGAAATGTCAAGGTCAAAACTTGATGCAGTTGAATAGTTCTCATCAATCAGTGATTTTTCTTTGGGTCAAAATGCCACCAATATTCGGCTATTTCCCCTCACAAAAATTAGCTATTTTTTCCCAATTATTAGTATATTTTTTCCCAATTTCAAACATACGGAAATTATGTTTTAATTTTGAACAAAAGTCGCTAAATTTGCTGACAGAGTAAATACGTTTTTATTCTTCAATTTTATTCTCCAAATCCATGCATATGCAGCCAATTTTTTTTAATAAATGTGTAAAACAATGTAGATATCCATATAAGCAGATAAGTAGCCTATAATATACTAAATAAATTGGTAAATAGTTCCCAGATACAAGTCATGTTGCATGTTGACATAATGATTTTGGTTTGACTGCCATTATTACATAGAGGGTCAGGCTAATATCAGAAAATGGACAACACATAAGGTTTCTCTAAAACCAGGAAAAAACAAACAATAAAGACTGTAAATTTGATTATCAATATAAAACAGTTTACTAGATTATGAGTCTAAATGCTATATTATTATTTTTTATGAAATTAGACAAAGCAATTCCAAGAAAATAGAAGCTACAAGGTGTGACTAATATAAGCCATGTTCACATTCAATAAAATATTAATGTTAATTTTTTTTAAATGATTATTTTATGAATTTAAATCAAATTCAAAGTTAAAATCAAACAAAAACTGTTGTTATTACTTAGTTTCTTTTTTTTTTTATGTATTTAGCATTCTAATTTACTATAAATGATTTTTCCCAATTTGAGGAAAATGTCGCTAATTTTTCCCAATTCAAAATGAGGGGGTGGTGATTTAAAAAACAAAAAAAAAAAAAACAAAAAAAATCACAGTCAATATGTATCAACATATTAGGTTTGAATAAAATATCTTGAATGTTTTCTTTCAAAATGAAGCTTAAAACCATTTTAAGATAAGTGAGGTCAAGGTCAAAGGACAGGCCAGGGTAGAAAATATGGTTAAACAGTGAACGACTCTCATCAATATATAATATATATATATATATATATATATATATATATATATATATATATATATATATATATATATATATATATATATATATATATAAGCATATAAGATTTGATAAAAATATTTTAAGTTTCTTTGAAATTGAGATAATCACTAATTCAAGAAAGTGAAGTCAAGGTCACAAGAAACAACAAGAGGCCCGTAGGCCACATCGCTCACCTGAGTAACTTTGGCCATGCTGTTCTTTACCAGATTTCCACCCTTTTAATATACCTATTGTGGCCCCGCCCTACCCCCGGGGGTCATGATTTGAACAATTTAGAATCTACACTACCTCAGGATGCTTCCAAATAAGTTTCAGCTATATTGGTCCAGTGGTTCTTGAGAAGAAGATTTGTAAAAAATTTTCTTATGTATTTCAATGTAAAACTTGGATTCCCTATTATGGCCCAGCCCTACCCCGGGGGTCATAATTTGAACAATTTATAATCTACACTACCCCAGGTTGCTGCCATATAAGTTTCAGTATTTCTGGCCCAGTGGTTCTTGAGAAGAAGATTTGTAAAAATTTTTCTTATGTATTTCAATGTAAAACTTGGATTCCCTATTGTGGCCCCGCCCTACCCCCAGGGTCATGATTTGAACAATTTAGATTCTACACTACCTCAGGATGCTTCCATATAAGTTTCAATATTTCTGACCCAGTGGTTCTTGAGAAGAAGATTTGTAAAGATTTTTCTTATATATTTCAATGTAAAACTTGGATTCCCTACTGTGGCCCCGTCCTACCCCCCGGGGTCATGATTTGAACAATTTAGATTCTACACTACCCCAGGATGCTTCCATATAAGTTTCAGTATTTCTGGCCCAGTGGTTCTTGAGAAGAAGATTTGTAAAGATTTTTTCTATATATTTCAATGTAAAACTTGGATTCCCTATTGTGGCCCCGCCCTACCCCCAGGGGTCATGATTTGAACAATTTAGATTCTACACTACCCCAGGATGCTTCCATATAAGTTTCAGTATTTCTGGCCCAGTGGTTCTTGAGAAGAAGATTTTTTAATGACCCCACCCTATTTTTGTCTTCTCTTGATTATCTCCCCTTGTGAGGGGACTTGGCCCTTCATTTTAACAATTTAAATTCCCCTTCACCCAAGGATGCTTTGTACCAAGTTTGGTCAAAATTGGCCCAGTGGTTCTTGAGAAAAAGTCAAAAATGTGAAAAGTTTACAGACGGACGGACAGACAGACAGACAGACAGACGGACGGACGACGGACAAAATGTGATCAGAAAAGCTCACTTGAGCCTTCGGCTCAGGTGAGCTAACAAGGTCAAAAAATATTGATGCAGTTGAATAGCTCTTACCAATATGTATCAGCATATGAAGTTTGATAACAATATCATGAATAGTTTCTTTGAAACTTAGCAGAACACAAATTTAAGAAAAGTGAAGTCAAGGTCCAAGGAAAGGTCAAGGTCAAAAATAAGGATAAGTTGAATAGTTCTCATCAGTATGTATCAGTACATAAGGTTTGATAAAAATATCTTAGACAGTTTCTTTGAAATTGAGCTAAACACAAATTTAATAAAAGTAAGGTCAAGGTCAAAGGAAAGGACAAGGTCAGAAATTGTTCATGCATGTGAATAGCTCTCATCAATAAGTATCAGCATATTAAGATTGATAAAAATATTTTGTCAATGAATAGTTTCTTTGAAACTGAGCTAAATGCAAAGTGTGATGGAAGGACAGACAGATGAACAGAAGGGAGGATGGAAGGACAGAGGGATGGAAGAGGACATGACAAACACTATATGCCCAAGCCATATTCATGGCAGGGCATCAAAAATTAAATACACAATTTTCCCTGATTTAAATCTTTTTCATTGATTTTGCAGTTAAATTCAGTAACACACTAATTTTATGGAAGTTATGTAACCCCACTTAAAAGATACAAGTTTATTTGAGATATTAACTGAAAATAATTTGTGACAATAAATAAGTTTCTTATCTTGATCTTTAATCCTTTCACCTCAAGATCAACAAGGGTCATGTTTTAGTCTAAAGATAGTATTATATTATAGTAAATATTGTGACTATTTCATACAATATATAAACTTGGGACCTCAAAATCAAAATCAAAAATCAATTGGGGTGTTTTTTTAAAAGTTAAAAAAATCAAAGTTATGGCTTCATTGCAAAAGCTTAGAGACAACTAAATTTAATATATATAAACCATTAATGCAATCCATGAATTTCTGACCTTGACTTTTAGACCTCAAAATCAATAGATACTTTATATCATGCATAGTTATGATGATATAAAAATTTCATTGTACAAGCTTAAGGAATAAAAGAGATATTATCCAAAAACTAAGTTTACTTTTTCAAACTATATATATGAATTGTGACCTTGACCTTTCACCTGGTCTCAAAATCAATATTAAGAGTATTTCCTGTGATTAAGAGTCATTACCTAAGTTGCAAAAGCTCAAAGAGAACTGAGTTAAAATCTGGAACTATTTTATATGATATATGAATTTCTGACCATTGACCTTTCGACCTCAGAATCAATAGAGTTTTTCTTTAAGTCATAGGAAGTTGTGAAATTTCATTGCAAAAGCCCATCAAAAAGAAAATAAAGTTGTAATTGGACACATTTTTATGCAATATATAAATTTCTGACCTTGACCTTTGACCTTAAAGTGGCTTGGACACAGATTTGAAGTAAATATTTTCTCAAATTCTCTGTACATTATCATGACGTACATGTTGCTAGAGCATTTCACATGGAAATATATAACAAAAGCCTGTTAACTTCATATATCTAGAACTTATTAAAACTATGAATTTTGGGACGAATTTGATTGAAACAAATTCTTGCTCTTCAAAAGGTGAACTTTATACTTAAAAATTAACAAATGGTAGAAATTTTGCTGTGTATCAATAAACAAGAGGCCCAAGGGCCTTGAATCGCTCTTCTGATAAACTGTACAACCTATCACTTCTATTTGAAGCCTCTAAGTATCCTGTATATTTAGATAAAGCCTTGAAACTCCAAAGGTAGGTCATCATGACCTACATTTAAGATGAAACATTTTGAGAACCCAAGATGATTCTAAACCAATTAGTACCTGAGAGTAGGTCATGGTGACCTACTTATCACTAGTCATTCTCTGAGGACCCAAGATGCATCAACTAAGTTTGATGATTCTAAGACAATTAATACCTAAAATATTTTTAAAATCATTACCATAAAATTTCAAAAGCAGGTCATAGTAACCTACTTCTCAGATGACATACTTTGAGGACCCAAGATGCATCAACTGACAAAGTTTGATGATTCTAAGCCAATTAGTACTTGATATATTCAAATAAAGCAATAAAATTTCAAAAGTAGGTCAGTGACCTACATTTCAGTCAACTTACTCCGAGGACCCAAGATGCATCAACTGACAAAGTTCGATGATTCTAAGCTAATTAGTACCCGAAATATTTCATTATAGCCATATAAATTGAAAAGTAGGTCAGGGTGACCTACTTTTCAGTAGACATACTCCGAGGACCCAAGATGCATCAACTGACAAATTTTGATGATTCTAAGCCAAATAGTACCCGAAAATATTAAATACAGCCATAAAATTTCAAAAGTAGGTCATGGTGACCTACATTTTAGTTGTCATACTCTGAGGACCTAAGATGCATCAACTGACAAAGTTTGATGAATCTAATCCAATTAGTATCAGAAATATTTAATTAAAGCCATAAATTTTCAAAAGTAGGTCACGGTAACCTACTTTTCAGTCGACTTACTCCGAAGACCCAAGATGCACCAACTGACAAAGTATGATGATTCTAAGCCAATTAGTACCCAAAATATTTAATTATAGTCTTATAAATTGAAAAGTAGGTCACGGTGACCTACTTTTAAGTCGACCTACTTCGAGAAGATACATGGCCGCATTTGGCTCAGAAGAGCTAAAAATATTGAAACTATAATTAAGAAATTTCAGAGTAGAAATGCGCAGGTATGTTAAGGCAGTACCCAGATCATATTTAGGCGAATTTAGACTTTTTTCGTAAAATGTAACATTGATAAATCGGAAAAGCCATAGATAAAACATTTACTATAATTATCCATTGTATAGACGTCATTGAGTTTTACGCTAAAAGAAGCACTCCACTACGACGTCATCACGTGACGTCTAAAAATAGAAAAATTGCCTTAATGAAAAAGTGAAAAGTTCAACACTACCCCTGGGATAATTCAATTCTTTTTGTGAAAATAATTATGTAAAAACATCACTGGGTCATGAAAAGTGCTGCTAGAATCATACTCTCCCGACACAGAAAAAATTATTCCAAAGTTTCGCATGAAACCTTACCAAAATTATTACATTTTGTACAAACGATCAAGGAACTGTCATCAATTCATGTTAATCATACGATTCTAGCAGCAGTTTCCAAGTACTATAGAATACAAGCTTTCGATACAAACAAAATTATGTCTCAAAGTATGCGGCGTAGTGTTGAACTTTTGCAACTTTGTTGGTATAGAACGACAGAGGAAAGGCTGAACGCAATTTTTAAGCACTGTCTGTGTTCATTATAAGAAAACATGATGAGAATATATCAGCGTACCTGACTCTTAATCTTTAATTCCTTATGAATCACACATAACATTCATGGTATATGCTTGAAAACTCCCATTTTACATAAATGTTTACATGAATTCTCGTCACGTTTCATTTTCACTTGGCAAATATTTGATCAATAGTTATGACGTCATGGGTTTGGTATTTAACCCCCGTGATAAATACTTAGCTGTTTATACCACCCAAAAACGACATGATTTTGTTTATATTATGTTTTTGAATGATTCCACTCATTTCTTGGACCTGAAATCAAACTTTAAATATAGATATTAAGAAATCATTATTTTTAAACTTCACGTCATACAGCTTACTATGACATCATATTGTAGAGGCAAGTAGTATATCTCTGGGTGTAGCCTTAACATACCCACGTGTGAGAAAGCAAAGCCAGCTCACCAGTATTGTCAGTCAGTTCTCGGTGATATGTGCCGAGTTTAACAAATTGAATACACCCAGTAAAACATTAAGTTAACATTAACAATAATAGAGCTTGTGCTCTGTTTACAAAAAGAGATGTTTGATGTGATGTAAAGAAAAATGTCATTGTCATTGAATCCTAAGAATATTCATGTAAGTTCAATTCATGTAACTGGTTTTATTTTTTGAATAACCAAAGGAATTTATAATATAAACAATGCACCTGTGTATAGGCCCCTTTAAAATCAACAGGGGTCTTCTTGAAGTCATAGGGAGTTATGAAATTTTATTGCAAAAGCTGAAGGACTTTTAGAGATATAATTTATGCCCCCCCCCCCCCCTTTCCAGTTTTTGCAAAAGTCATGGGACAAAAAATATTGCATGATTTCATAATAAAATATTTAATGTGCATATATTTTCCCTTATATAATACTAATTGAAAAAGGTATATTTCATCCTGTATAAAAAAACATGTTTTTTACATACCCAAAATTCATTTTTTTTTTTACAGTTAAGTCATGAATGCTCAACATAATTTCAGAGCGACATCATCAGTGATCAACATGTTCAACACATTCAATTTATACAGTTGAGGTTTGACAAAATAAATCATTTTATGGGTTTAAAACTACAGTGCCCAAATATTTGTTCTAAATCAGTCAAAAATGTCAATATAAGTAAAAAGATATCATTTTTAAACATTTATTAAGATGAAAATACAAGTTGGTTAGTGATCAAATCTACCATAAAGCCCTTTGGGCTTTATGGAATTTGATTAAGTTACCAACCCAAATTTACATCCTGATAAAAGTTTAAAAAATGATACTTTATTTCTTAACAAACTATTGCTGACCAAGGTTATTAAATAATATGGATATCTTACATGTTTTAGATTGCCCTCATTTTTCCACAAGCACCAAAAAATAAATACTGGTACAGGTAGGACAGGGAGAAGAGTGATCATCAATCCAACAGTGTGGGACAAGTCAGGAAACTGGTAGGTGCTGTAGCACAGAGGCTCATCATAGACGACTGTCACAATAATCAAACCCTGTAAAATACAACCATAACGTAGGCTCATCATAGACAACTGTCATCATAATCAAACCTTGTAAAACACAACCATAATGTAGACTCATCATAGACAACTGTCACCATAATCAAACCCTGTAAAATACAACCATAATGTAGGCACATCAAAGACAAATGGCACAATAATCAAACCCTGTAAAATACAACCATAATGTGGGCTCATCATAGAAAACTGTCACAAACAAAACTCTGTAAAGTACAACCATAATGTAGCCTCATCATAGAAAACTGTCACAAACGAAACTTTGTAAAGTACAACCACAATGTAGAATTATCATAGACAACTGTCACAATAATCGAACCCTGTAAAATACAACCATAATGTAGGCACATCAAAACAACTGTCACAATAATCAAAATCTGTAAATGTGGGCTCATCACAGACAACTGACACCATAATCAAACCCTGTAAAATACAACCATAATGTAGGCTCATCATAGATAGACAACTGTCACAATAATCAAACCCTCTAAAATACAACCATAATGTAGGCACATCAATAACAACTGTCACAATAATCAAAATCTGTAAAATACAACCATAATGTAGGCACATCAAAGACAAATGGCACAATAATCAAACCCTGTAAAATACAACCATAATGTAGGCACATCATAGACAACTGTCACAATAATCAAACCCTGTAAAATACAACCATAATGTAGGCACATCAAAGACAAATGGCACAATAATCAAACCCTGTAAAATACAACCATAATGTAGGCTCATCATAGACAACTGTCACCAAAATCAAACCCTGTAAAATACAACCATAATGTAGACTCATCATAGACAACTGTCACAATAATCAAACCCTGTAAAATACAACCATAATGTAGGCACATCATAGACAACTGTCACCAAAATCAAACCCTGTAAAATACAACCATAATGTAGGCACATCAAAGACAAATGGCACAATAATCAAACCCTGTAAAATACAACCATAATGTGGGCTCATCATAGAAAACTGTCACAAACAAAACTCTGTAAAGTACAACCATAATGTAGCCTCATCATAGAAAACTGTCACAAACGAAACTTTGTAAAGTACAACCACAATGTAGACTTATCATAGACAACTGTCACAATAATCGAACCCTGTAAAATACAACCATAATGTAGGCACATCAAAACAACTGTCACAATAATCAAAATCTGTAAATGTGGGCTCATCACAGACAACTGACACCATAATCAAACCCTGTAAAATACAACCATAATGTAGGCTCATCATAGATAGACAACTGTCACAATAATCAAACCCTCTAAAATACAACCATAATGTAGGCACATCAATAACAACTGTCACAATAATCAAAATCTGTAAAATACAACCATAATGTAGGCACATCAAAGACAAATGGCACAATAATCAAACCCTGTAAAATACAACCATAATGTAGGCACATCATAGACAACTGTCATGATAATCAGACCCTGTAAAATACAACCATAATGTAGGCTCATCATAGACAACTGTCACCATAATCAAACATAATCAAATAGGTAACTCAAACTAATAAGTAACTTACTATAATTATATTAAATAGAAGTGACATGCCCCTCTTAATCAATTAAAACAAAATATTGGTGATGGAAAAACTTACAAACACAACAACTGGAGTGAGGAACTTCCAGGTCAGTTTCCACCATGGACTGTCTGTGGTTCCTGTCATGTCTGACACATTATTCCAAAGTCTCTGGGCCCCATACACCCAGGCCAGAGAGACACACTCCCCAAATGCTATCAGGTATAGGGACAGCTTACCCACATAGTGATGGGAGAAGTAGAATAGGTACAAACCTCCCTACAAAGATACATAACAATCTTGATCATCATGTGTTTGTATGAAGTGTGAATACACTTAAGCTTAAAATCATAACTTTATGATGCTTGGAAAATTGACATGGCAAGGGAAATAACTCTCAATGCAGCAAACATGAAATGCATCCATTAATTTAAATCAAGAGTATCACGGTATACAAAATAATCAGTCTGAATTTCAACAAACATCATAGAAGGTAATGTAAATTTTGACATCAATGCTATTATAGAAATCTTTTTTGTTGTACTTATGCAGTCATTAAAGGCACACAGAAGTTTGATAAAAACAAATGATCAAATCACAATACCAAGCATATATAATTATATACAATTCTGACCTTGCTATTGGTATTGCTAATAAACCAAAGACCTTATATTTCTGTCAAGAGCGACATCAAATTAATTTGTTGGATTGCCAACAAGAGTCATTTCACTTCAGTGTCAGAACCCTTGGGTCATAAGCAATCTTTATAAGGATCTTGTATTAATTGCTATTGCTTCTCCTGATACAAAGTTGTTGCCTCTGGAGGAAGTGAGATAGACATGGCCATTCCTATTTAAATATACCTGACGAACTTATAGAAAGACAAAGCCCATCTGATTTACATCCAGGGCATTGGGTACCAGTTCAACAGGGGCCTTTTGCTACTACTTTGTCAATTTCTGAAAAGTGTTTTGACACCTCTACAATTATGTCCATTACATATTTGCAAAAACTTACTTGTGTTGTCAGCAGAAGTCCTAGTACCATGGCAACACAGCAGACTACCGCCAGCACTGGGCATTTGAATTTCCACCTGAAGCGCCACCTATCTGGCAGGAAGTGAAGGAGAGCCGACACGATGTTCTGTAAATATGTACACTGGGTACCTACCCCCATCAGAATCAAGGTCAGGAAAAAGATTGTTTTCCATACCTGAGCATTGTTAGTTCTGGCAATGACGGATGTCATCAGTGTAAACACAAGGTCAAGTGCTGCAATAATAAAAATTTCTTATCATGAAGCATTCAAATGAAATCAAAACTCAAATTCTCACAGATGGCAGAACAATAAATCCTGTGCACACATCAACTGATATTGCTAAAGCAATACCAATAAAATACTTTTTCCCCCCCAAGATTTGTATTTCAAAATTCATAAGAAAGTATAAAACCTGTCATATTATGATGGTTTATAGAGTTGTTGTCCTTTTGTCCATTGATGCCTAGAGCAGCAAAAATGGTGAACCCACTGACCAGCATACCAACCAGGTGAGCCGTGATCACCAGCAGGCAGTTTCTACAGTAAAATATAGAACTTGTTCTTCATTGCACTGCTGACAGCAGTGTATAAATTACTGTTTTGGTAATGAGGTCATCTATGAAAACTCAACTCATCAGTTAGTGATTCAATAGGTCATCTTTGAAAACTCATCAATTAGTGATTCATTGTTTCTATCTAAATTGAAAACATTGCATTTGCATGGTTACACTGTTGCCAGAGCTTTGAATTGAATTCTGTACATCAACCTGAAGACTGCATTGAAATACATGTACTGTCATAAATACACTGCACACAACTTGCATACTTTTACTGTACCAATACAATTTGTGTAGTAATGATTATATTGCAGTTTATTTCGAGTGTGACAGAATAAACAAAATATACCAAAAGAGCTAGGATTTAACTTTTTTGTTCTGTACAATAAAACAGAAGTTTGGAAAATTTATATTTATCTTCTGAGAAACACAGTGAATGGGAAGGCCTTGAAGGTCAATGGAACTATGGCACATCTATCAAAATTTTAACGAGCCATTTTGAAAATGAATGGGCTATCTATATATTCTGAACGGTTGGCGCCGCCAATGGTTGATTTAATGCGCCAATTTTCACTTCAATGTGACTATGGCGCATGATGGAAGCTCTTTCCAATCACTGGGACCACAGCATTTAGATTGGATAAGCATATTGCTTTCAACAAACCTAAAGCAGTGACTATGGAAATGGGTATAGCCAGCCAGAGATGTCAAGGATCCTGTGCCCAGACCCAGCGAGCTAAACATCAGCATCCCAGCAGCAACCCATGCCTGATAAAAAGCAAAATGATTGAAAACAAACACTTGACTCAACATATTTAAATCTAAAGAATTGATTTAAAATCTTCAAATGTTTCTAGCATACAAGTTTTTTCCTCTCCTTTCCAGCACAAAATATTAAAATTTAAATGCATTCTGTAGAATATCACTTATTTTCATAAAGTCAAATTTTCGAGGATTGAAAAAAAAAGACTTGTTTAAAGGGATTTGATTTTGTGGTTGAAGAAGAAACTTTAAACATTTTGTAGGGGACATGAAATCATGGGTCTCTTTAATTCACATACCACAAAATCAATGAAAATTAAGACCCCATGAAAGTTAGTGATTTCACAGCCAGTATTTAGTTTACAATACAGAAAGAATCAAATTATGTACTAAACAAAAGCAGGAAAAAAAGAATATGATTTCAATTTTTAAAGATTCTAATGTATGTATAATTATGGTTATTAAGATTACTTCAGTTTAATTTATAAATAATAAACTTCTGAAAAAGATGTCTGAAATGATACTCGAGTCTCAAGAGCTTCAAAAAGATATTTAATTACAGTACTGCAGTTCAAGCTTGATGGTAGCATTCAAAATTTGCTGTTTCATTCATTCCATCCCTTTGGCCAGAAGAGAATTAAGAATACCTTTTTCTAAATTATTTTCCCAAAATTGCAAAATTCCACAAAAAAAAATGAACTGCAGAACTTATATGGATAATATGCACAGTTAATCCATGACCAGGAATGAATGAAAGTTTTTTTTTTCTTCTTATGCATAGATATGTGAAATGATAGATACCCAAATTTCACAGCACTAAAAGTAACAAGAGGCCCATGGCCACAATGCTCATCTGAGTCAAATATGGCCCTACTGTTCTTCATCAACAGATTTTTACTATATATTCCTATTTAAAACTTTGATCCCTGTTGTGACCCCACCCTGCCCCCAGGTGTCATGATTTTTATAGATGTAGCCCCACCCTACTCCTTGGGGTCATGATATAAACAAACTTGAATCTACACTACCTCAAGATACTTCCATATTAATATGATTAAACATGACTTTGCTCTTCTTCCAAATTAATGTGATTAAACATGACTTTACTCTTCTTGAGAAAAAGAACTTTTTCCCTATAATATACTGTATGTTAAACTCTGATAGCACATTGTGGCCCAACCCTACCCCAGGGGGCCATGATTTGATCAAACTTAAATCTGCACTACCCAAGGATGCTTCCACATCAATATGACTAATTATGGCTTTGCTATTCTTGAGGAGATTTTAAAATGTTTATTCCTACTTATGAATAAACTTTGATCCTCCATTGTGGTCCCACTCAATCCCCAGGTTCATGATTTGACCAAAGTTGAATCTACACTACCTGAGGATGCTTCCATATCAATTTGTCTATACATGACTTTGCTGTTCTTGAGAAGAAGATTTTTAAAGATTTTTTCCTATATATTCCTATTTAAAACTTTGATCCCCCAATGTGGCCCCACCCAATCCCTGGGGGGTCATGATTTGTTCAAAACTTTATCTACACTACCTGAGGATCATGCCTGCTTCCATATCAATATGTCTACACATGACTTGAACAAACTTAAATCTACACCACCTGAGGATGCTTCCATAGCAATATGACTAATCATGGCTTTGCTGTTCTTGAGAAGATTTTTTTCCTATATATTCTTATGGAGGATGCTTCCATATCAATATGACTAATCATGGCTTTGCTGTTCTTGAGAAGATTTTTTCCTAATATACAGTATTCCTATGTAAAACTTTGATCTCCCATTGTGGCCCCATCAAACCCCTGGGGCTCATGATTTGAACAAACTTGAATCTACACTATGTAAAGAAGGTTTCAAATAAGTTTTATCTCTTTGGACCCGTTGGTTCTTATGAAGAAGTTTTTCAAAAGATACCACCAAATTTTCACCAATTCTTAATTATTTCCCCTTGAAAGAGAGTGTGGCGGGCTCATTTGAACAAACTTGAATCCCCTTTACCCAAGAATGCCTAGTGGCAGGTTTGGTTGAAATTGGCCCAGTGGTTGTCGAGAAAGTTCAGTTGAGCTTTCAGGTCAGGTGAGCTAAATATAGTTTTCAACTACATGCATGTATGCTTCAAAATAAATTCAAAGTTCAAGATTTTATTTTTATCATCATTTTGGTTCCATTCCATAGCAAGATGATATGCTATTCTTACAAAACATACAAGAAATACTTTTCCTTACAGCCTCATTTTATTTTTAATTCCCTATACATCAAAATTTGTATTGTTTAATGGGCCACATCACTCACTTGAGCACATTGGCTAGGAAAAAGCAGAAATCAGTTCAGTATTGAAAAGTTTAGATTTGACCCCCTGTTGTGGTCCTGCCCTACCCCCAGGGGTCATGACTGGAACACACTTGAATCTTCACAACCTGAGGATACTTCTATAATAATATGACTAATCATGGCTTTGCTAATCTTGAGGAGATTTTTAAAGACATTTCCTACATTTCCTACATATTCCTATGTAAAACTTCTAACCCCTCTTGTGGCCCTGCCCTACCCCCAGGGGTTATGATATGAACAAACTTTAATATGGAGTATAGTGAAGCTTTCACGTAAGTTTCATCTTTTCTTGCCCAGTGGTTCTTGAGAAGATTTTTAAAAGATGCCACCAAGTTTTCACAAATTCTTAGTCTTCCCTTGAAAAGAGAGCATGGCGCTTCCTGTGAAAAAACTTATATCCCCTTCACCCAAGGATGCTTTGTGGCAAGTTTGGTTGAAATTGGCCCAGTGGTTCTTGAGAAAGAGTCGAAAATGAGAAAAGTTTACAGACGACAGACAGACACTGGACCCTCTTTGATCAGGAAAGCTCACTTGAGCCTTTGGCTCAGGTGAGCTAAAAAGGTAGTTTAGATGCAAACTCAATTCCACACATCCATGGTATTTGAGATATTGGTGTTCAAGATACTGAAGATCAAGTGTATTGTAAATCAGACAACTCAAATATGACAGCAACATTGTCAAAATCTCCAAAAGGAGGAAACTATACATAGAGGTTCACTGTGTATTCAGCCTAGCATAACAGAAAGTCAGCTAACCTCCAGATTACCTAGAACGTCCCACTTCATGTTCAGGAAGCCTTTGATCCCTCGGAGAGCCCCGTCTTCTGTACAAAGGTGGACCATTAGTGACACTGCTAACACTTGTGCTAGTCCATACGTTATGTACACCGCCTATAAACACAAAGTAAGGACAGATATTAGTTGTGTATAAAATGCAAAAAAAAAAAAAAAAAAAAAAAAAGACATGGATCTTTTTTTTTTTTTTTGAAACATTTTTTAAAATTTAAATGAAAGGATGGGGGCAAGTCACACATCAGATATTATGATTAAATATTATGATGTACTTGAATCATTCTCTAGGATTCAACAAGTGACTTTGAAGTCCTGTATTGGCCGGCATTGTGTATTGAATAGAAAATTCTCAGAGAAAAAAAAAATACTTTAACACTCAATGCTTGACATATGTTTTAATTAACATTTATTTATATCTTTTTATTAATTACAATGAAACATTACGACATGTAGGACATGATGGATTCAATAAGTACACTTCTTCTAGAAGTGCTTAGCTTGTAATTGAATGTAAATATTCATAAATAAATGAATTAAGACACTGTAACAATACTTTATCAACAAAACATGGGTATAATATCCATATAATGAAGTACTGATAGACTATTCATTAATTCAACTTATTATATAGTCTATTTATAGTCCCTATACACTAATAATCTATACAAGAGCAAATAGTTCATATAAAACTAAATATTAACCTGATTTGAAGCTGTATCCATCAGAAGGTCAGTGTGAGTGCATCACAAACACCACCTTAAACAATGTAATAGAGCTGCCAACGTCATAAAATGAAAAATCGAGCTGTTTAAGCAACTGGTTGCTGCAGATTTTTTTTGTGGATGATTTTTATAGGACTGAAAAATTTTAATTTTCTTTTTTTATTCAATGCAAAAATTTAGATAGCAGGTTTGCATGGAAACGCACAATGACAATGTGAGCAAGGATTCATTTCTTTTATAATGATAGTGAAAACTGAAGGTGGACAGCTAGGAAAATTCTGGTATTTAAAACTTTTAATGTAGAAATAGAAAACTGGAACAATAACAAGAGGCCCATGGGCCACAACGCTCACCTGAGTATATCTGGCCCTGCTGTTCTTCAACAGATTTTCTCCCTTGTAATATGTATTCTGTCACACCCTACCCCCGGGGGTCATGATTTGAACAATTTATAATCTACACTACCTCAGGATGCTTCCATATAAGTTTCAGCTTTTCTGGCCCAGTGGTTCTTGAGAAAATTTTTTAAGAATTTTTTTAAATATTTCAATGTAAAACTTGGATTCCCTATTGTGGCCCTGCCCTACCCCCGGAGGTCATGATTTGAACAATTTAGAATCTTCACTACCCCAGGATGCTTCCATATAAGTTTCAGCTTTTTTGGCCCAGTGGTTCTTGAGAAGAAGATTTGTAAATATTTTTCTTATATATTTCAATGTAAAACTTGGATTCCCTATTGTGGCCCCGCCCTACCCCCAGGGGTCATGATTTGAACAATTTATAATGTACACTACCTCAGAATGCTTCCATATAAGTTTCAGCTTTTCTGGCCCAGTGGTTCTTGAGAAGATTTTTTAAGATTTTTCTTATATATTTCAATGTAAAACTTGGATTCCCTATTGTGGCCCCGCCCTACCCCCGGGGGTCATGATTTGAACAATTTATAATCTACACTACCCCAGGATGCTTCCATATAAGTTTCAGCTTTTCTGGCCCAGTGGTTCTGGAGAAGAAGATTTTTTATAAATATTTCAATGTAAAACTTGGATTCCCTATTGTGGCCCCGCCCTACCCCCGGGGTTCATGATTTGAACAATTTAGAATCTACACTACCCCAGGATGCTTCCATATAAGTTTTAGCTTTTCTGGCCCAGTGGTTCTTGAGAAGAAGATTTGTAAATATTTTTCTTATATATTTCAACGTAAAACTTGGATTCCCTATTGTGGCCCCGCCCTACCCCCAGGGGTCATGATTTGAACAATTTATAATGTACACTACCTCAGAATGCTTCCATATAAGTTTCAGCTTTTCTGGCCCAGTGGTTCTTGAGAAGATTTTTTAAGATTTTTCTTATATATTTCAATGTAAAACTTGGATTCCCTATTGTGGCCCCGCCCTACCCCCGGGGGTCATGATTTGAACAATTTATAATCTACACTACCCCAGGATGCTTCCATATAAGTTTCAGCTTTTCTGGCCCAGTGGTTCTGGAGAAGAAGATTTTTTATAAATATTTCAATGTAAAACTTGGATTCCCTATTGTGGCCCCGCCCTACCCCCGGGGTTCATGATTTGAACAATTTAGAATCTACACTACCCCAGGATGCTTCCATATAAGTTTTAGCTTTTCTGGCCCAGTGGTTCTTGAGAAGAAGATTTTTAAAGATTTTTCCTATATATTTCTATGTAAAACATTGATTCCACATTGTGGCCCCGCCCTACCCCCGGGGGTCATGATTTGAACAATTTAGAATCTACACTACCCCAGGATGCTTCCATATAAGTTTCAGCTTTACTGGCCCTGTGGTTCTTGAGAAGAAGATTTTTAATGACCCCACCCTATTTTTGTCTTCTCTTGATTATCTCCTCTTGTGAGGGGACTTGGCCCTTCATTTTAACAATTTAAATTCCCCTTCACCCAAGGATGCTTTGTACCAAGTTTGGTCAAAATTGGCCCAGTGGTTCTTGAGAAGAAGTCAAAAATGTGAAAAGTTTACAGACGGACGTACTGCTGGACAGACAGACAGACGGACAGACAGACGGACAGACGGACGGATGGACGACGGACAAAATGTGATCAGAAAAGCTCACTTGAGCCTTCGGATCAGGTGAGCTAAAAAGAGAAATCATTACTAGGCTTATTTTTCATTTTCACTCCATAAGCCTTACGCTAAAATGGTAAGGGTTTGCAGCTCAAATGTTATTATAGCAATGCTTGAACCAATCAAGCCAGCTGTGTATCCGAGCTGGCAGTGATTTTTCTACAATTTTTAAAAGGGGCCTGTGCCTTTTCAATTGGGAAAAATTGTCGACATTTGTGTCAAATTGGGAAAAAACAATAAGATTGTAATTAACCTTCATATTGACAAGTAAAATAAAATAATAAGTAAATGTAATATCATTTATTGAATTTATTTGCTACAAAATTTTTCAAGTTCAACAAAATGGACAGTTCTACATTTTAATTTTCTTTCATTTTTGTATTTTGATTGTCCTATAGATATCCTTTTTTTTTTTTTTTACCATTATGGTAGAATTATAAATTGAGAAAAAAAAAATCATTCCTGATTTCTCGTTATTGATCGCATTGGAGATGGAATAATCTTGACACTATTTACAAGCATGTATTGCTGTATCGCATATTTCTCTGCAATGCCAGTCTCTGCAGGATGAAGAAACAGTTTAATTTTCGTGAAATCAAGGACACTTGTTGTAGAACTACTAGTACTTGCAAATTACAAATAAAGCTATGCTTAACAGATTCACATGCATATTTAAATTTCTTACGATGTATTGACACAAAAGTTTGACTTCCACATGATCAATTTTCCAAGTCTTGCAAACACACAATTAAACTGTTGTTTTTCGTCGTTATTTTAAGCGTCCGAATGACCAAAACAATAGCGTTCCATTTTAGATAAGTCGTACATAAAAAATTCAATTAAACCAAAACAATACGTTTTGATTTTGGGAAAAAAGCAGTTGAAAATTGGGAAAAAATCGGTAATTTTTAAGAGGGGAAAGGGCCGATATTCGGACCTAAATTGAGTGTAGAAAAATCACTGGCTGGAAAACCATTTTGCAAGCCTGTAGCTAATTATTATCTATACCTTATGATGGGAAATGTTGTCTTACACAATGGTAGGAAAACACAGAAGTTATAATTTGTAATGTTGACAATTTTATGTCTTTACTGAAATGAAAGTTTATAAATTAAAATGGTGTCATCATGCAGCCTTCAGTGTCTTATTCCAACTCGGAGTTAAACAATAACGATCAATCAGTGTCTTATTTATTCAATATTGGACTATATAACAAAGCACCAGTATGGACTCTTTGGGTGGTTACTATGGCTTGATGTTTACCAGAATAACAATCTTTGAACATCAAAAATATTAAATAAAGCATGACATTTACAAAGCAAGGGCATTGCAAAGCAAAGCATCGCCACACAAAAAAAACATGTCAATCCCTATACAAATTACTACTAGGTATAATACCACAGATCAAAGGAACATCAAAACAAGAGGCCCATGGGCCACAACGCTCATCTGAGTTACTTTGGCCCTGCTGTTCTTCACAAGACCTCCCCTATGTAATATTCATTGCGGCCACGCCCTACCCCCGGGGGCCATGAATTGAAGAATTTAGAATCTACACTACCCAAGGATGCTTCCACATAAGTTGCAGCTTTTCTGGCTCAGTGGTTCTTGAGAAGAAGATTTTCAAAGATTTTGCCTATATATTTCAATGTAAAACTTTGATTCCCTATTGTGGCCCCGCCCTACCCCTGGGGGCTAAGATTTGAAGAATTTTGAATCTACGCTACCCAAGGATGCTTCCACAAAAATTTCAGCTTTTCTGGCTCAGTGGTTCTTGAGAAGAAGATTTTCAAAGATTTTGCCTATATATTTCAATGTAAAACTTTGATTCCCTATTGTGGCCCCGCTCTACCCCCAGGGGCCATGATTTGAACAATTTAGAATCTACACTACCCAAGGATGCTTCCACATAAGTTTCAGCTTTTCTGGCCCAGTGGTTCTTGAGAAGAAGATTTTTTAATGACCCCACCCAATTTTTATCTTTCCTGATTATCTCCCCTTGTAAGGGGGGTTGGCCCTTCATTTTAATAATTTAAACTCCCCTTCACCCAAGGATGCTCTGTACCAACTTTGGTTAAAATTGGCTCAATGGTTCTTGAGAAGAAGTTGAAAATGTGAAAAGTTTACAGACGGACGGACAGACAGACAGACAGACAGACAGACGGACAGACGGACGGACGCCGGACAACAGGTGATCAGAAAAGCTCACTTGAGCTTTCAGCTCAGGTGAGCTAAAAAGTGAAAAGTAATACAGGTAATCTTCGTTATCTCGACATCGCCGGGACCATCGGAAAATGTCGAGATATCCGAGGTGTCGAGATATCAGAGTTGAGACTTGACGTCCAAGATTTCACTGCATAGCAAAACAAACAAGCTTATTATATGTACATGACTTTAATATAGACTGTAGCTCAAGATATTTCAGAATTCCCTCTATTTTTATAAAAAATCTAAGAAGTTATTTTAAAAATCTTGTTTATAAAACGTGTTCTTTATCGAAATCTTTCTAAATTCACAAAGATTCAGCGCAAAGTTACATCATTCGCGTGTAACTTGCCTTTTTGTCAGAACGGGATACGAAATGCGCTCTATAAATTTCAAACCATACAAAGTCGACATCCGATATACGGAAAAAATTAAATGCAGATTACTTTTTTCTTATTTCATTCAGGAAGAATGTACATTAAACTTAATTTTTTAAAGAGATTTGTGTATCTAAACTAACGTAGTAATGTTACAGAAGCATGAATTACCGCTGATTCGGTCAATCGTGTCGTTAATTGGATTGTTTCCTGTTGAATACATTTTAACCATAGTTGCCAACTCACCCGATTTTGTCGGGTTACACCCGATTTTTCGACCCTTAACCCGATTATTTTTTATGACACAGCGGGTCATGCTTTTCTCCCGATTTTTGCCAAACAACCCGAAAATCTCCCGATTTCCGAATTTGGTTCGAAAATTAGGTTGCACTTTTAACTTCCAGTTGCAACCCAAGCTTGGATCTACGTAAACAATGCCGATGGCTATGTTCAGTAGGCCGTGTACCAGTAAATTATCAGTGCAGGTGTAAACAATTACCCGCGAGTTGTTTTGACAAATCAGGGTTTGAAGTCAATTTAAAATGGCTTCCGATAGAACTATAGATCGTTATCAGGGCCAGCAGGAACAAATTGAACCAAGAAAAATATAAACGATATTTATGTACATATCAAGGACTCTCGGAAAACAACTTTCATTAGATAAAATAAAAGTGATGGAAGATGGTGTAGGCCTAACTGTACATTTGATACATATTGCACTTGTTAATTAATTCGGGAGAGGAAAAATAACTTCAAAACCAAAATTGTAATACTTTCAAATTTAGCACAAACATATGCTTCAAATAAGCGATGCAGATTATGAAAAGGCTTCTTTTAAGAAAAATGCACACTTAATTCAGGTCAATACTGAAACCTTCAATGCTCTTTTTTAACATGTAAATTTAATCAATATATATTATTTTTTTGTCATTGTAAGTTCAAGCCTCTGTTTAATAAAAGAATTATCAATACATAAATACTTATATAAAATACATTATAATTTAATCATGGTAGATATGTCGTGAATGTCGTTACGCGTTATGACCAGATTTTTTACTTTCCAAATCTGGTCATGACCAGATTTTTACATGTTGGAGGTTGGCAAGTATGATTTTAACTACAAAATATCATTAAAAAACCTTTTAATTCCTTAGTTTGAATTATTCAGTGTGTTTGTTATTCATTGTAATTTAATTACCATTTTCAAATTTAAAAGTTATGTTAGGTTTCGATATAAATAACCGTCTGTACATTTACGCAGAATCATGTACATTTACTATGATATTACCCAAGCTGAACATTATGCAATTAACTTCTCAAAGACACCAAGGGGGCTTGGGATTCACCTACAAACACAGTCCATAGAATTAATTAAGCAGCGTGCAGTCAAAACATGGGTGTGAAAGGTGTGAAATTTTGACGACGTCGAGATACCCGGAGTAGTCCTTGCGTGACGAGCGACCCTATCTGACAAACAGTTAGGTTCAGTAGAGCAGAAAATTGCCAATGTCGACATATACCAGGCAAATTTTGCTCTTGGAACTGTGAAAATACGTCGAGATAACCCGGGTTGTCGACATTACCGAGGTCGACATATCAGAGTTTTTGCAAATCATTTATATAGTAAATACTGCCCGGACCGTGGAAGGACGTCGACATATCCCAGGTTGTTCATATATCTGATGTCGAGATACCGAAGTTTACCTGTACTAATTATTTTTTGTTGCCACAGAAAATAAAATTGAAACCAAATCATTAAGCACACTGCAGGAGATAGACATCACTTTTCTGGAGCTTTGATGTACATATGGTAATTAAAGAAAGATTTAAGACTATAGGCAGAAAAGTATGTCACTGAAATGACAGAGATCAGGCATGATATGGAAAAAGATGATACTTCTAAGGGTATCACTACACTCCCTATTGTCGAGTCTCAATTACATAAACAATGATTAAAATGATTCCACATAATGCATTTAATTAGTGTAATGTCTTACTTTTCCCAGAGATCTTGGTCCTAGAATGAGGATGATGAATATAACAGCCCACAGTATCACAAGACAGACGACAAAGTACCATACAAGATGGCCAGTGTGACCTATTCCAGCTGACACCTGTAGTATATCCTGGCTGCAAAACAATTAATGAATCAATCAGTAACCCTTGAATGCAATATAGCAATTGTAACTGAAAATGAATAAACATGATGGTAAGTATCATAATTATGAAACTCTCCTCATCAAATATTATCTAAAAGTAATGTGCAGACTTGCATCAAATCAATGTCCCGGTAATGTGACACTGTATGATACAACATTCATGCAGAGTAGTTACTTGGGAGCGGACCTCAGGTTCAAAATCTTAAACTACTCAATCATCTGTAAAATGTGGATCAGATATCCAGCATGAACATCCAAAGCAAGTCTGGTAGTGTGCATCCCTAAATGCATTATCCTTGCAAGTTTGGTCTAGGTGGGACCTCGGACTTACTCTAAAAACTGCAACCTTATCACTCATCCAGAAATTGGAGGACAGATCCAGTATCCAAAGCAAGTCTAGCAGAGTGCATCCCTAGATGCACCACCACTGCAAGGTTGGTTCAGATAGGGCCTGTAGAAGCTTAGGAAAGAGATCTGATCCCAAAAAATTAACCTGCTCCAACAACATTAACCTGGTCATTCTTATTGGCTGATTAGATGCATGTGCAGTATCTGAAACCTGACTGGTACCATGAAGCACATTTAAAATCTGCTTTAAAAACTTAAACCTTGGATGCTGACCCCAATACTGAGGTTGAGGTGAACTAAAAAAAGCAGGATTAAATTGGCAATTAAACATATGATTTCCATGTCAGCTTTAGTGACTTCATGGCCCATTCAAATTAACTGCCCTTGGATCTTTGTCCTTCACATGTAAAATCCTATGAGTTGACTTTCACTATTTTTAAATATTAAGCTGAATATCAGCAGGTTAACTAACACAAAGAAAATAGTGTAAAACCATGAAAAAATATTCCATTCCCTTCCAGCAAGATCTATTACCTTCTGTGGCAAAAATAAAATATTTCTACAAACATTCATAAACTTCTAAAATAATAATTCTAAAGAGCAACTCTAATAAACTTCATTGCATGACAACTTGTCAAAATACTTACTATAAATGTATACTTCCTACAGTAGAAAGAACATATGGGAATCTAGATGATGTATTGACACTCGTCAGCTCTCTGTCTATCTGGACGTTTGTAGAGCAAAGAATATCTGAAAAATTTGATTCATAGTTACATGAAATTTGGCACAGAAACAGAAGTAAATCATTTTTAAACTAGAACTGTCCAAAATGGACAAATACCCCTCACAGGGTTTTTTCAAGGAAGGTGCCAAGTCACTAATACTAGTATTTGATGGATCCAAGAGGTGTTCACAATTTGTTTAAACATTTAGAGTGAAAATTTACCGGTAATTGCTCATTATAATTTTTAATGAATGAAACTAAGGCGCAGCCTTATAAAACATCAATACTTATAATAACATTTTTTTTTATTACATTGAAAAAATAAATAACAATTTTTCAAGTATTCCTCTATTGAAAGTATGGATGCATTATTTATCCATTTTTTCTACAGTGACTATAGGTCAAGATCAAGACACACCCTCAGGTCATACACAATCTTTGTGTGAAGTGGAAACTCCCAACATCCCAACATTATTCTCCATAAAAAAGATACAGCCAGACACAAATTATGAACTTTTTCTTTCAGTGACCTTGAACATGCCCAAATGACCTTACGTCAAAGTCATGACACATCCTCAGGTCATAAGCCATCTTTGTGTAAAATGGGAACTCACCAAGTTTATCCATAAGAAGATATAGGCCGGACACCAATTATGAACTTTTTCTTTCAGTGACCTTGAACTTGCCCAAATGACCTTGGGTCAAGATCATGACACACCCTCAGGTCATGAGCAATCTTTGTGTGAAGTAGTAGATTCTAATGTTCCTCCGTAAGAAAGATACGGACAGGACATGTTTGCACAGCTAGACAGACAGACGGACAAGGTGATTCCTATATACCCCCTAAACTTCGTTTGCGGGGGGTATAATTATTTATTGAACAGTTTCTTAATATTTGGTTTGTCTGGTGAATAACAAACCATATTCACCACCGAAAGAGTCCATAATTGTTTTATTATATAGTCCGGATTTGAATAAATAAGACATTGAAGGCTGCATGACAATACCTTTTTTCTATCCTATACCTTTTTTTTATCCTAGTCATGCCTGCACCTGATTTTTACCAAATAGCCAAACTCTGGCCTTTCAGAACAACTTAATATAAGGTACCTTGGTAATTAGGAAATGATTATGTGTTAATTACCATAACTTTACAGGGTTTGACATTAACTTTTATGAGTACTAGACCTGTCGAGCTACTTCCAATAATTTTTACTAGCCCTGACCATAAAATCACTAGCCCTGACCAAACTTGAAAATTCACTTTTTATAAACTGCTAATAATTATAATGAAAAAAAAGTTTCAAAACCATACTTCAATAAAGATACCGTCTCTCACACCTGTTCAGATATATTCTGACAGACTCTTCCATAAGTTGTTAGCCATTAAGTTGGGTTAAGCATGACACACAAATATTATAAGCCTTAATTAAGGAACAATCAATGAACTTAGTATAAATATAATTACCCTAAATATAAATACATTGTGAATTAAAGAATATATCATTCAATAGCTTCATACTAATTTTAAATACTGAACGAAGCTAGTTCCCATCGCAACTTGTCTATTACAGACGGGCTAAAAATAGCAATTGTATCATGAGGAAAAGTTTTCTTTTACAGAGCGATGGGTGATGTTTACTATCAGACAAATAAGAATTTAGAAAAAAATAAAAAACATTTTAGAATATTTATTTGAAAAACTGAAATAAGGGTTATCATTTATTTCATACACACGACCAGTAGGTCTAGTTCACGAACATTTTACACGACCAGACCACTCATTTACTAGACTGGGTCGGTCGGATGTGCCTTAGTGTCAAACCCTGCTTTAATTTTTACCAATTTTCATCAAGATTTGTTTGACTGACCAATGGAAATTAAAGGATATTATAATTACAAGCTATCATCTGTCACTAAACAAGGCAGAAACCATTCATTCATACAAGGCTTTGTACTGTCATTGAAAAAAACTAGAAATATGTCCATAGGACATAAATGCCCCGCTGAGGGTATATTAGTAATGCAACATTTTAAAACAAATTGAGAAAGGTGAGGTCAAGGTCAAAGGAAAGGTCAAGGTGAAAAAATATTGATGCAGTTGAATAGCTTACATTAGTATGTATCAGCATATGAAGTTTGACACAAATTTAAGAAAAGTGAGGTCAAGGTCAAATGAAAGGTCAAGGTCAAAAATTGTTTATGCAGTTGAAAAGGTTACATCAGTATGTATTAGCATATGAAGTTTGATAAAAATATTAAGAATGGTTTTAAAACTGAGCTAAACACTAATTAAAGAAAAGTGAGGTCAAGGTCAAAGGAAAGATCAAGGTCAAAAAATGTTGATGCAGTTGAAGAGCTCTCATCAGTATGTATCAGCATATGAAGTTTGATAACACTATCTTGAATGGTATCTTTAAAACTGAGCTAAAAACTTATTTAAGAAAAGTGAGGTCAAGGTCAAAGGAAAGGTCAAGGTAAAAAATATTGATGCAGTTGAATAGCTCTCATCAGTATATTCAGCATATGAAGTTTGTTAAAAATATCTTGAATGGTTTCATTAAAACTGAGCTAAACACTAATTTAAGAAAAGTGAGGTCAAGGTCAAAAGAAAGGTCAAGGTCAAAAAATGTTGATGCAATTGAATAACTTACATCAGTATGTATAAACATATGAAGTTTGATTACACTATCTTGAATGGTATCTTTAAAACTGAGCTAAACACTAATTTAAGAAAAGTGAGGTCAAGGTCAAAGGAAAGGTCAAGGTCAAAAAATGTTGATGCAGTTGTATAGCTCTCATCAATATCTATCAGCATATGAAGTTTGATAAAAATATCTTGGATAGTTTCTTTGAAACTGAGCTTTGAACAGAGCTAAACGCAAAGTGTGACGGAAGGACAGAAGGACGGAAGATGGACATGACAAACACTGTATGCCCCGGCCATATTCATGGCGGGGCATAAAAACCATACTGACTAAGGGTTTTATTTAATGAATATCATTACGGTTTACTTAGTATAAAAACTATGAAATAGGAGATATTCAGAAACAACATCATTAGTTCAGAAAAACAATCATGCAATAATTATGAAATTTAAGAATGGATCTGACTTAAGAACCTGGCATGTACTATCTAATCAACCAGCTAACCTTATGATGAAAAGGAAAAATAATATAGACTCAACATCAGATATTATATGTGTTTATTATACCTCTCCTGATTTTTCCCCTATATATAATTAGATTGTTAGATGTGAATAATTCCCTAGCAATCACCATGAATGGACTAATTCCTAGTTGTTTTTCTATGCATTAGTCACATGAGCTATGAATCCCTGGTTTGATATCTGTAGGAGTATAGCAGTGAATGAACTAATCCCCATTTTGCCATGCATCAGTCAACATGGTCAAGTGAACTAATCCCTCCTTCAAAATTTGTATCAGTATAAAAACAGTTGAAAAGTATATTATTGAGGGAGTTAGCAAGATTCCAGTTTCCCTTGACCAAGACTATTTCCCTCTGCTTCACTTAAGGAAATAGTATTGGCCTTGGGAAACTGGAATCTTGTTAACTCCATGATATACCTTGACTGTATATTACGATGTATATGAATATTACTTTCCTACGAAGGCCCAGAAGGCTCATTCAAGATTCAAGTTTTAAAATACGAGATTCGAAATTCGAGTTTCGAGATTCAAGATCCAAAATAACCAATCAAAAGGCGGATTCAATATTTGATTACTCCCCTTTATTAAGTTTTCACTATCAAGAAATCACTGAATATATTGTTAACAAATGGGTCATTTGCTTAAATAATAATGCAAGAAAAAATTTTACATATATCAAAACAAAATAGAAATGAATTTTGGGTAATGTTTTGAAAAATATGTATAAAATCTTATTTTCCTCATTAAACAAAACAATAGATACATATATAGAATATTATATGGTCTTATCTTTGAATTGCGAAATCAGTATGTACATAAATTATTGATGAGGGAGAAAATAATTATTATTGATATGAAATACTAAGGATCGTCTTTACACATGCAGTTAGACTGATCTACTATTTGATATGGAATAAAATAAATTCCAGTCTGTATTGTATATATAATTTTTAATTAATTCAAGTATTAAAAGCCTTAATTGAAAGCTTAATTTTTATGTATTTCTCCTATTGGGGTACAGTGGTATATATTCCCTTTGGCTAATGTGTACGCTAATGTGAAGGCACAGATTTCACCTAAAGCGCATCATTGCCGAATTGCGGATAGGCAAGGAGGGAGTCGCCCCCTCTCAATAGAAGGGGGGGGGGGGTCGGGGGGGTCGGAGGACTTGCTGCGATCTTGGAGACATCTATCATTGTCATTTTTCCAGTGAATATAATTTTAAATCATTTAAACATATTTTTATGATACAGAAATTAAAATCTTCATAACAACTTTTAATAAATTTGAGAAATTTTAAAATCCTTACACAGTGCTTGGAAATTATGGAAACTTCTTTACTGAATAATCTATATAATTTTTAAAATGTTTTATGTTTGACTCCCTACTAACCCAACCTAAAAATCAAAAGTTTTGTATACTGTAAAGGTTGGATAGGCATAAAAGTGTGGATTGCTAAAAATACTTTTATTGCCTTTGATGAAAAAATATTCTAGTAACTGGTAAATAAATAAGATTTATGATCACCTTTCCCCCATTTTTCAACCAAATACATGTATAAATAAATAATTTTTTTTACATCAAGTAGGCTACAGTCTTTTTGCCTATATGGAATATACACCATTGGGAAAGCGAACTCGATTTTTTTTTATCACTACTACGATGTCTTTCAAGATTTTCTGTGTACACTAAAAAGGCGTACATGAACTAAGTAATTTTAATACGTACTCCTTTAGGCTATACCATTTTTTCAAAGTCCTAAAGGTGTATAGAGGGTCCACTGTTTTGTTAAAATAATTAATTTTTTATCATTATTAAATACAGGTAAACTTCGTTATCTCGACATCGACGGGACC